TGGTCAGGCAGGACTTGCCCCTAATAAAGCCATGCTGACTCTCCTGAATTACCTTCCTGTCCTCCATGTGCCTTAGCCTTGCTTCTAGGAGCATCTGCTCCATGATCTCCTCAGGCACAGGGCTGACAGGGCAGTAGTTCCATATTCCACATATTCCATATGTGGAATTCCAAATATGAAGCAATATATGAAGAAACCAAAGGCTTAGGCTGCTTTGCTTCAAAGTTTGATGATCTCTGTATGGTAGCAATTTGATGTCAAAATTAATTTAATGACTTAATTGCAACACATTTTCAGGCTCAAGGTAAACACCACAGCTGATGACACTGCAATGTAGAATTATGGTAAATGGGCTTTATAGACAAGAATTGGATTATATTATGCCCACAATGATGAAAGACTACCTAGCTGGTCACATGTCACAACCACAGTCCTCACTGTCACATGAGGAATGTGACCACATCCTCAGAGACAGAACATACTGCCCTGGAACATTTGGGGCAGATGCTGCTGTCCCTCAGCCACATCTTCTGCACGCTCTCCCCAGTATGCTTCTAAACCACTTTAGCCATAGCGCCAGCAACCAGAATTCCATTTTTGCCCTGAAATATTTCCAGCTGGCAAGGAACAGCAGCCCCCCAAGCCCACATCAGTTGACTAGGGGAACAATTTGAAAATAAGCAGCACTGATACTGCTTGGAAAATGTACCAAGACACTTAAGATGCTTTAGACTACATTCTAGCACCCTCCAAGTGATGCATCCAAGAGGTTTTCAGGAAAAGAAACAAAGAACATTGAAGCTCCCTAGCACTGCACAGGCTGTTGCATGCTGCCACACTGTAGTTGTCCCCAGCTCACACACCCTGGCAGGCAAATGGCTCTGTAACCATCACCACTGGTTGAGGGGCTTCTGCTGAGAAAATGACCAGCAGCATATTTCTCATGCAAAGCTCTGCAAGCCAGGGAGTGCTCAAATAGATACAGCAGCATCCTGGGAAGGAAAGGGCATACACGTAGAGGTCACAAGCTAACATGAGCACGCACATGTACTTCAACTGGAAATTGAACACCAACTGAAATAACCCACTCTCCAACACCCCTGGGCAGCACAGGAACTAAACACAGTGGTGACCTGCAGCTCACAGCCACACAAGTACATATAACCACAGCCAAAACACAGGAAAAGTTGGAATTTTGCTCATGCCTCACTAGAGAAAAACATAATTAAAACTATTACGCTTGGAAAGCTTCCAGGTCTATGAATCTGACAAAAACATTTATGATAATAAAAGAATAATAGTGTCCAGTAAAATCCCTGTACATAAAACATAAAAGCACTAAAGTAGTTTTATAGTCAGAAATCCAAGAGAAGAAAATTTTTATAGAACTTAAATGTATTAAGTTGTTTAAAAAGGAGCAGCATGACTTTTCCACTTCGTAAACTGAAGTTTAACTTCACAGCTGTCTGTATCTTGCCACACTTGTCAGTCAGACTTTTCTGTCAGACTAAACACCTCTTGTTTTATTACAGGTCCAAGCAGTTATCCCACAGGGTATTTTCGATGAAAATTAACTCCAGGCTTCAATAAAAACAGCCCAATGTCCTTTCTGTGATAGCTGAGTTTTGACACTTCCGTCTACTTTGCATTTCTATCCTTTGAAGGATACCTAACATGAGAAGGAATTTGTAACACCATCCACCAACGAGGGTGGATTCCAGCAAGACATATTGACATGCTTGCTCTTTTTATTGATCCATGCAGAAGTAACATGAACAAAAATGTCACATTAAAGAGAAAAAATTATTTCACAGTTTTTGGAAAAAACATTTGGCAGAGTGCTGCCATCTGCATCAATATTTGAAAACCAAGCTATTCAAATATGCATAATTTACTTAATCTTATCAAGATATTTGAACATTAGAGGCTTTTTATTACATTTTCCAAAGAAGCATCACTTTACATATAAAGTATTATATCCATCTGGAAGACTGACACTTGAAACAGCCTTGCCTTTTCAAGTCCATACCACCTTGTTGTATCAGGGCCTTCATACATACTGAGCATACAATTTCTGGAAGCTGCTCTTGGGAAATAAGGGTAAGTAGAGACGAAAACTACAAAGATTGCTCAAATTATGACAATGAGAATATTAAGTCTCTCAAAAATCTGTATACTGAAGTGTTGTGATGATTTCCTGCAATTTCTCCTCTTTGTTTTAGAATGAAACATAAGAGAACAACCTGGAGGAACCCCTTTTCTTGAATAGTTTTGAGAGCTTCAAGAGGTAAAGAATTTCACAGCTGATTGTGCTGACAAGCACTTCCAGTTTTGGACCAGTCCAAGCAGTAAGTGATGCAAGAAAAGAACTTCCAACACACATGAACTGGAGTTGGAGCCTGTTTGGCTTCGCCCCTGTTAGAGCACAGAAACTGGAGATGTAGATTGTGGCCACTTGTAGTTTATATGAAGGATGCACCTTCTACCACCCTGCCTCTCTGCCCCCCTCAGCAACCACCCTTGTTTCATGTATGTGCTGTTTAAGCCTGGGAAAGGTAGAACGAAGACTCCACAGATCTTAACTAAGCAGCATAGCTGCTCACTAAACCTTCTTGACTATAGCACTTCAAACTGCAATGGTTAAAATACAAAAAGAATCTTTCCATTTTATCCTGAGCCTCCACTGAAGAGCACACCTGAAGCAGACACTCAGGAAAGGGAGCAGCATGCAAGAAAGAAAACTCCTGAAATAATTCATTAACAGTGCAGTCAAAACCAAATGGACTTTATTAGAATATCATCAGGCTTTACTGTAACAGATCAGAGACATATTCATGATAAGGCTTTGCATAAAGGTAGTTGCAAAGCTCTTCTACATAGCCTGGAAGTTTCTGGTACTAGCCCATGAGACCTTTGCTAAACTTTGGAAGACTATTAAAGCACAGGCTTCAGAGGACTGTGCTGCTGAGCAAACCACTGGAGGGGGACTGTGAAGCATAAATGAAAAAGAAATCTCAAGATTATTGAGATAGGCTGGAGGGGTGGGCCCAGATGAACCTTATGAGGTTCAACAAGGCCAAATGTAAGATCCGGCGTATGGGCCATGGTAACCAGCGCTACCAGGGGAAACTGGGCAAGGGTTTACTGGAGAGCAGTCCTGTAGAGAGGGACTTGGGAGTGCTGGTGGATGAAAAACTGGACGTGGGCCACCAACATGCAATTGTAGCCCAGAAGGCCAATCACATCCTGAGCTGCATCAAAAGAAGTGTGGCCAGCAGATGGAGAGAGGTGATCCTGCCCCTCTGCTCTGCCCTGGTGAGACCTCACCTGGAATTCTGTGTCCAGCTCTGGAGCCCCCAGCACAAGAAGGATGTAGACATATTGGAGCGAGTCCAGAGGAAGGCCACCAAAATAATCAAGGGATTGGAGCACCTCTCATATGAAGAGAGGCTGGGGGAGTTGGGATTGTTCAGCCTGGAGAAGTGAAAGCTCTGGGGGGACCTTATAGTGACCTTTCAGCACTTGAAGGAGGCCTACCTGAATGCTGGGAAGGTCTATAGATAGATCATTGGAATGGACTGCCCAGCAAGGTAGTGGAGGCCCCAACCCTGGGGGCATTCAAGGTCAGGCTTGATAGGGGCCTGGGGGACCTGACCTAGGTAGAGGTGCCCCTGCTTGTGTAGGGAGGTTGGACCAGATGACCTCTAGAGGTCCCTTCCAGCCTGAAACATTCTGTGATTCCTAAGCCATTTGCTCTAGAAAAACAGTAATTTTCCAGGAAAATGTTCTAAACAGCCAAACCTTATCAAGAGGCTGGATGTGAAGCGTTCATCCAAGGAATGCTCGGTAATGAAAGATAAACATGAACTTTACTTCAGGGGGTTTGAACAGAAGACTATCTTTAAATCTACTTTTCTGAATTTCTTTTTGCATAGTATTTACAGTGCCCTGTTCTTAAGGTAGCATCAGAAAGAATATCTTCTTTGAGTAAGCAGATTTGTACAGATGGCAGAAATTTGACAAATATTGGTTTTGTTAGGGCTGAGCTTAAAATTTCAACCTTGTTTCAGTCTCACATAGAATGAAATTTATAAACTGATTTGGAAAACAAATGTATTATATTGTACTAAAACAAGTGAATTGTACTACTTCAAATAATAAACTGACCCACCTATGATAATTGAGTATTTGAGAGCGGCAGATATATATTAAGGGTAAAACAGCACACTAGGAAAAATTATGTTGACCTAGGAGGTTCTGTCTGAACACTTAAGGAAACATGATTTTACTGTGAGAGTGACTGAGCATGGAGCAGGTCACCCGGAGAAGCTGCAGAGTCTCCATCCTTGGAGAATCAAAAGCCACTTGGACATGGTCATGGGCAGCCTGCTCTAGTTGACTTTGCTTGAGCAGAGGGGTTGGACCAGGTGACCTCCAGAGGTGCCTTCCAACCTCAGCTATTCTGTACTTTTAAAATATTTCTCAGAATAAAGCCCCTTACTACCATCTAAAAAGGTAGTCAACTTGCATAATTTCTGCAACTAATGAATGCACATCATATATGCTTTGGCTCTCCTGGAGAGAAAAGTCATACTTCTCCATGTTCTCACATGACCTGCTCAGGCAAGGTCACAGGCAGACGCTCTGCCGGGCTGGACCAGATGTGGTTACAGACAGTATACAACAGCAGTTAGTCAACTCATCTAGAATGTTTTATCCTGCAAGCCTTTTCTTCAGTGGCACTTTCAGTCAAGTCTCCCCCCACTCCCTGTCTGCCAGTTTTTACAAAACTGAGACACAAAGGTATGAAGCTATGTTCTATCAAACTGGAAGAAACCATTTGGTGAACACAAATTGTGAGGAAAAAGACAATTCTATACGTAAGCCCAAATTTGCATTGGAAACCAAGTTAAAAACACGTTCCAAGGAGCGCAGTCTTCTGCTGAACAATGTGTGTGTGAAGCACACCAAGCACCCAAGAATTCCAGGAGAATCATTACCTGCTTGTGCTTCTCCGGTTGTCTAATGACTTCTGTTTCTGTAACAGAAAAATGTCCAAGGGTCTGGTCCATATGGGAGCCACTAGTAAATAAATGGATCTGGAATAGAATAATTAAAAAAATATTTGTCAGTACGAGGACCAGATCATTAACAACATCATTAGCTGCCATCTAATGTCTACATGGATTAGAAAGGTGATGTGAATCAGTGGTTACAAGCCCATTCCCAGTGGACAAGTACAAACGTGACTACTACCACCATACAACAGACCTTTTAAAACAGCCTGCAGGAAATGATGATCATGCACAATGATCAGCTCACAAAATGGTCCATCTGGTATTGTTACCAGAACCACATGCAAGAACTGCTGCTGCCACAGTAAAATTGGAAGATTTCTCTTTTCATCCTGTCTTAAAAGTAATTTTCCTTACATTACACATGCTCTTATGGACAGTATGAAAGTAGAAACCATTTACACAGCAGAAGCCTTAAGAGAGGAAAAGGATTCCCTCAGAATATTTTTTGATTTCTCCCTTTAAAGCAGAAAATGGTACCTAGTTACAGTAAGTTTCTCTGGTGCTATATATTGTTGGCTTTTGCTTACTGGGACTTTGTCCCAGCTGCACTGGTGATGGTATCACCAGTTACTTGACAAAGAAGCCTCCCAAGTTAGTCAAGGGAACAATAGACAGCAATTCCTCCTATTCAGAGCTGATCCCTTTGTTTCTGTAATAACTGCAGCTGCCAAACAAGATAGCAGTGCACATTTGTCAGACAATCACTCATATTTCATTAATATTTCTGTCAGAAGACAGAGAATGTTTTCTGCTCTTCTTCCTTTATTCTAATATGAACTTTATCATACACTTGGGTATTGACAACTATTTTAAAGTTGACAGGCATGGGTAATTATCAATCTTTCCCTGAAACTTCAGAATATTTTAGCATTCCCTTCCCAAAACTCACTTCTAGTGACAACCATCTGTCACATGTGCAGAGTTATGTGAGTTTAAAAATAAAAGAGCACCTCCCTACACAATGTTCTTCCCTTCTACTTGTCACTCCTCTCCGTTCCCTGCTGCTTTCTTGTGTAACTCTGGCTGCCAAACCTTTGGACCTCCAGCACCAGGAATGAATTTCAGCCCCTCGTCAAAAGTATGTTGCAGCAGCATCATTGTCCAAAGCCCAAAACAAATACTCTAAAGCTGTAACAACAGAGGAATAAGGTGTTCCCCTAAGACCAGACTAGATGGATACTGGAATAATCCAGTATTTGTAACTGAAAAAATACAGTATTTGTTTTCTGACAATCTGTTGCTGATAACCACAACATACTAAAGATGAAACAAGCCTTAAAGAGGGAAATGGTACCAAGGTGAGGAAACAGTACCAAGAAGCAGGTAAGAGGATGACAGACAGAAAATATATGGCTGCTGCTTCATGCCACTGGGGTGGACTGAGGTGGAGGCAGGTCTGATTTAACCTTACAGTGACCTTTGCATGAGAGTACAGGCAAGCCCACCACTGAGCATCACTTCTGGGGAGTTTCCATTACCAATTCCTAAACACCCTTGAGCTTAGACACTCTTCAGGGAGACTAGGTTGTCCAGTTCACATAAGACAAGCTGAAAAGGGGTCTTGTTCACAGTCCACACAGACTTGCATGAGAGGAAAAACTCCTACTGCATTAAAAAACATGCTATGGGGATCTAAAGGCAAATTCACTTCAGGAAAACCCAAAGATTTGCAATCCAAATAACCCAAGACAATAAAAAGGTACAATTAACCAATGCAGCAATTTGCAGAGCAACATGGTAGATTGTTCACACCAAGATACATGTGTGTCTAACAACTGCTGTTTAGCTCACCCATAAATTACTGACAACGAGGTAATCACCCAGCACCAGTCTCTGTCCTCTGTTATTCAGTGGTCAGCACTTTGTCCTTGTCCCTTTACTCTTCTACTACATCAGATATATAGATAAAGCAAATCCAATCCACTGTAATGCATCTTATTTCATATTATCTTAGAGGGGGCACAAGAAACTGTTCTGTTTGTAGGAGATATCTCCCCGTGCTGCTCAGCATTCTTACTGACAGAACACAACTCTGGCTTTTACAGTTTCCAAGCATATTACGACTGTTATCGTCACTTTAACATGATCTGATAATGACAATTATATTAGACTCTTCTTCTATCATCAAGAATTCCATTTAATATCATTTTATTTCTAATAACCTATATGCATAGTCCATAATCAGATGTCCACCTGCTCCACCTCCAAATTTCTCTGAGCCGGACCTAACCTTCCCCCATTTCAGGTGTAATTTGTTCAAAATTAGTAAAAAAAATCACTTGTTCTGCTATTTCTTTGCACGTGCCAATTGTGGCACAGTGCGTTTAACAGAACCAAAAACCAAAGCCAGTTTTCAACTACTCAGGTTCCTACCCATTTTTCTGAAACTATCCAAGGCTTCTCATTCACATTTTTTAAGGCAAAGTTGTAATTCAAAGCCTAGCTAAGAACAGCTGCTCTCCCCTGTGAATTGAAGAGGGATCAAAAACAAGGCCGATTGATATTCCTCCAGCACTTGACAGAAAGAGGAAGAAAGAGAAGGAACCATGAGGCGTGCCTTAACATAGTAATTTATCCCTCATGCTTCCATATCTTTGAAGGTATATCAGGTAAATATGTACCACTGAGAATTTTGAGGGAATTATAACAGTATTACTATATTATACTTTCAAAGTGGGCCAATCTGTCCATGTTGAGAAGTCATTATAAAGCTATTCAACAGCTCATAGCCTCAGGCTGCAAAATTCCTCAGCAACAGAGAGGTTAAGATTTCCCTGAGGATGTCTTCCTCCTACAACAAGATGTGTGTGTCTGTAAGCTTCAACTTGCCTTCTGGGAGCTGAAGTCACTGAAAAGCAGCTCATCAGAAGAACTAGCAAAGAAGAACAGCCAGACAGACCACCTAACAAGCAATTCTCAAGACATGACTGGCTGTAATTCCAGGAAGGCTTCTCTCTTCAGTTACTGCAGAACTTGACACCATCAACCTTAGGTGGCTGTGAGCAGGACAGAGTAAATAGAGGCCCCAGCAATCAGTTTCAGTTATCATTTGGGTACTTTGGAGAAAGAACAGCCATTTATTTTTGCCTGTTTCCCCCTCATCTCTCCCTCCTACAGTACAGTACTATTTCATTAAGATGTGAGTCATCACTTCTGATGTGAAAGTACATGTGTCTGATCACCCAAGCAATGCATAATTTTTTCACAAAATCAGAGAAACAAAAAAGACTTTTGGAAGTCTTTAGTCGTACCTGTACCTCCTTCTCTAACAAGGAGGATGGCAAATATCTGTTTGTGGCTTTGTGTGTATGTCTTTTAGAAACCTCTGAGGATGGAGGCTATTCAGCGCCTCTGGTGACCTCCTCCAACGCTACCCATCATCCCAGAGAAACCTTTGCTAATATGCCTGAACTTGCCAAGCTACTTTCCCTTTGTTTTTCAGTACTCCTGAGAAGACCACAGACACATCTTTGTAACTACCATCCTTGTAACTACCCATCAAATATCTGAACACACCTATTAGGTGACCTTTCCTTCAGCCTTCTCTACACAAGAGCAAACAAATCCAACTCCCTCAGCCTCTTCTTGGAGGTCATGCCCAATTTAGCTAGTCCTTTACCTTGGTAGCCTCTTACTGGATCCTCTGTGTACAATTCTAACTTCCAGGAGCAATATCCATACCAAAAAAAATGGAGTAGAATAGCAGTCAACCCCTGAAAGAATAAAATTTGCTTTCCCAATGTGGTGTGTTGTTCTCAAAAAGCCCCAAAGAAAGAATATGGTTTCTTTAGAGCCTGAGTGAGTCACAGACCTCCACAGAAATCTGTGGAAGTGTCGCCACTAGTTGGCAAAAATTATAGCTTGTTATCAGCAGTAAATAAGACTTCTCCACAGTTGAGATACATAACCTGTTAAGTTATTAAACAGAGCAAGTAAAAGCCATAATTATGATTTCATAGAGAAAGCCCTGTGTAAACCTGTCAGCATAATTAAAACCCATAACACTCATTAGCCTTTTGCATACCATTTTGTGGTTTATATGGGAAAAGCAGCAGCTCATATAGAGGTCATACTAGGTCAGCTCAGTCTTCTAACACATAGACTAGTTTAAAAGTTTTGAAATTAATGCAGTAGCACAGACAATTTCTCTATAGAGTCAGGAAATATCAATTATTGTTTATGCAGCTGTTAAACTGTATATGTTGTGTTACAATAAATATTAACATTAATGTGACACTGTAATGAAGTCCTGTCCGAAGTTACTTTTACCTTTCAATTTTCCTGCTTTTAATTCAGACTAAAATATAAATGAGAGCACTGCACTTTATTACAGCTCTGAGCAGAACTCCCACGGTTGCACAGAGGAATTTGAGCGTGCACATTATCAGTGTGTGATCACATCTGGAGGAGCTGGGCTCCAACCTATCCCCCGTGAATACATCTCCGATGGCAGCCCTCTACACACGCTGCAGAACATGGGCTGATCCCAAGAATCATCACCAGCATCACTTATTGTTTGCCACCTAGCCCAGTGATGACTGTTGGAGAAGGCAGTAATGGCAGCTTTGAGAAACTGGATGAAGAGAGACATTCTCTGAAACTGATGCTTTACAGTCTAGACAATTGGTCTGTGCTGCAGGTGGAGAACTGGCTGACCAGCTAAACGCAGAGGGTGGTGGTAAATAGCTCCTTCTCAAACTGGCAGCCTGTCACAAGCAGGGGCCCCCAAGGATTGACACCAAGCCCAATGCTGTTTATTATCTTCATAAGTGATCTGGCTGAGGGGATCAAATGTACCCTGAAGAAGTTTCCCAAGGATACCAAACTTGAGTGGGGAAGTGGACACTTCAGAAGGGAGAGCCACCTTGCAGGAAGACCTGGGTAAGCTGGAAGAGTGTAATAAGAACCTGAAGTTCAACAAGGACAAGTGTAAGGTCTTGCACCTGGGAAAACATAACCCAGCAGTGCAGCCCAGGCTGAAGAGGACCCAGACAAGGACCACAAAGATGATCAAAGGACTGGGAAGCTGCCATATGAGGAAAGGCTGAGTGAGTTTGTTCAGTCTTCAGAAAAGAAGGCTTAGGGGAGACCTTGCCACCATATTCTGGTATTTAAAGAGTGGCTACAAAGTAGTCAGAGACTGCCTTTTTACAATGAGTCACATGGAAAAGACAACCCCATGGGTAGAATTTACTCCTGGGGAGATTCTGACTGGACACAAGAGGAAAATTTTTCACAAATGAGAACAATCAGCCATTGGAATAACCTCCCCAGGGAAGTGGTTGCTTCCCCAACACTGGACACTTCAGATTCAGCTGGAAAAGGTGCTGAGCAATCTTATTTGAAGCATGCTTTTCCCAAGAAATGTTGGACCAGATGATCCCTGAGGTCCTCTCCAACCTGGTATTCTACAACTGTATGAATCTCCCTCCTGCTGCTTCTTCCAGATTCCAGAAATCATGGTCCAGGGAACAGCAATGTAACTAACCTGTCTCTTCTATTTGTCAGACTGTAACAGCCCTAGATTTAGCAAACATTTTTCCTTGGATAGCCACAGGGGAAAAGAATGTCCAAGGTTATTTTGAAGTACAACCTACATAGGAGGTCACCATCTACCCTATCAACAAGTTCAGCGTATTGTTCAATCACACATCTCTTCATTATTTCAGTGCCTGATCTGGACTTGCATTTGTACTATGGGCCCCAGGTTCAGCCTGCTCTTAATTCTTCCTTGGTCTCATTAACTGAAGGCTGAGGTATTGAAGCTGCCTAATGATTTGTTACTGCCAAGTTCCACATAAATCAGAGCACTGATGATGAATTATGGAGGTACTTGCCTCACTTGCCATAAAAAGCTTAAATAGAGGTAGCTTATCAAGGGGAGAAGATGCCAATCATTTAATTTGAGTTTGATATCACTAAGCCACTTCTCCCAAAGGCATCACTGTCTGTCATCTCAGTGCAAAAGCCAAGGACCGCACCTGCACTTAGAGTGACTCTTCATTTCCAGAGCAGGGAAGCACATTCACAGTGGGCAATGAGAAGCAAAAGGTTATTTTAGATGCTGCACACACAGCACCTGATCTTTCCCTAGCAATCAATTCAGGTAAAGAACAAAATGTAACCTCATTATAGTTTTCAGCACTGCTCTCTCAGACACAGGATTAAAACCAAGGCAGCGTCTTCATTCTGTTCCAGTTCAACTTCTTCAACTCTTGTTCCAGTTCTTGTACAATACCAAGCAGGAGAAAGGGGATCCAGGGACAGTATTAATTACTAACTTTTAGGTCTATCGTTGGAGTAATTTTTTTAAATTTGTCTCTGCAGCCACCATCATTGTGAACTTTGGAACTGCAGGCTGTTTCCATTCTAAGCAGATGTGATACTCCCAGATGCCTGTGATGCAGAGAGGCATATAAACATCCTTCATAAATGGGAACAGAATAGGAATCTTAGCAATGCAGAGGCCACTATTGATTCCCAATTTCAAGCAGGTAGATTTTGGGCTCTACTTGGATGTTCCCCAGTACTTTAGAAAGGGAAACTGCATTTTATTTTGCTGCTATTACTTTCAACATCTGTGCTCAATATTTTGAGTCCACATTTCCAATGAACTTATAATTCTGAATCACTACTTCTTGTTTATAGGACCAGAATGCTCCATCTTGCTTCTACCAGGCATTTGCTGAGAAAAATGGAGACAGTCTATGGTTGCAGAAGTGACTAATGTGCCAACCTGCAAGACAGGCTTCAATACAATTGTAAGCCTACAAGCACTGTACACAGCTCATTTTCTCATGGTTCTGCCGCACCAGGGAAAGGTGGGGGTATTACTGTTTAGAGTAATTCACTCACCTACAGAAAATGCAGAACTAGCAAACGAGAATAGTTTGTGCATTTTAGCAGCAGCTGACAATGTTTTTAAATAATAAACAATGCCATAGCAAGTTAGAAGGCTAATTTACCTTGTGCAGAAGTTTGCATTGCTCTTGGTGCTGAGCATGCAAACTCCGCCACTGGAACCTCAGCCTCCCATTCAACCACTGAAGGTATCGAACATCTACTGTGTCTTCTAGTCCACATTCATGTGCTATTTCAGTTGTACCTCTCTGGCTGTTATGCAGATCTTCACACTGAAAGCAGAAGAGAATACCAAAATGTTTGGGGTTAGCCTCAACACTTTCAACTCTTTCAGTAGTGAAGAAAATACAAAGCAAATTAGCCAAAGAGCAAAAAAAAAGTTAAAAATAAGTAAATTCCAGCAGTAAAGAGAAATTGTAATATTTTAGAATACAGAAATGGAAACAGCTTAAACAAGTACTGGAGTCTGGAATAAATATTGGCTTCTCAGCTATGATGTGGTGAGCTGTCTCCTCTCTCATCTTTCCTTTTCCGTATCCGGGAAGACAGTGTTCCCGAGACAGCAAGTATGCTCTTTATCCAGATGGGAAAAATCACATTTTAACGAGATTCTAATAAATCGAAGAAGATAAAAAAACAGATACAGCTCCTCCAGTGTCTTCCTGCAGGCTGTATTCAGTGAGTCTATTTTGTACATGAATGCCTTACATAGGGACAAAATTGTGGGCCTATGCTCACCCAGCTATTTTCCCTTCTCCATCCAGCATTTCCCTTCTCACAGAATAGAGGAAAAGAAATAACCATCCAGCTGACATTGGCCAGGAGTCCACAGAGGCAGTCCCAGCTAGAGTTGCACCATTTATTTTGCCTTTCTCTAGGGTAATTTGGAAGGAAGACAGGAGAAGCAAAGTGTTTCCTTTTGTTCATCTTCTTCCACTTTCCTCCTGCCACAGACAAACAATCCAAACAACTACCACCGTCATCTGGATGAAATTTCTCTTTGGTTAATGGCATAAAGCAAGCAAGACATTTCTGTTGTATCTTTTTCCCAAGGAACATGGAGGCATTCGGGCTCCCCCAGCCTCTTGCACAAAGAGGTCATTCACATTTACAAACAGATCTCTCTCTCCATTTTCAGCCAAGACTCCTGCAGAATGCAAATTAAAAGAGGAGGAAAACATGGGTTATTTTATTTCTGATGCCAGTAACATCACTTTAGTAAGGCTGAGCTCTCAACTGCATCCAGTCCATAGAAAGTACATACAATAAACACAATCCATCATTCCAAATTTTTTGCTACAGCCTACCATAAGTAACACTGAACTGCAAACACATGGTTATTCAGAACGAGTGTTCACCAGCTAAGGAAGTGTCTCCCAGTTGTTGAACTCTCAAGACATTTCTTTAAAGTGGAAATTTAAAAAGCTTACTGGAAACATGACTGCTTTCAACAAAACACTTAAGCAGATATTTGGACCCAAAGACCTTGACTGTACTTAAACATATGTGCTTCCCTGCTTCACAGACTTCCACATTCAATAAAATCTTATAAAGATTCATTTGGCAGGCAAAGATTCCAATTTGAATCCTAAAGTAAAAACGCAAACTGTAAAATGAAAAGAGTTTAATCTTGCCTTAAATGCAGATTTCAGCAGAATTGTATCTAAAATGGTGATCAAATCACCCCCTAATGTTTGTTTTAACCTAAATATCACCTCAGTTGACAGGGCCTCTAACACAACGAGAGTTCATATTATTTATAAGCACAAAAATGCCGTTCTGGTCACACAAGAAAATGTATCAAGACTACAGTTTTTTTTTCTCCCTTTGCTCTGTGGCTCAGAAAAATGTGTGCTATAAATCACAGGGGTGCAGGGTTGGGAAAGGGCTTTTCCTTTTAAAGGCACAGATTCATGTCTTTTGAAAAAAAAGACAGCATCTCCTTTGTACCAACTGCAATGTCATCCTTTCTCCTCAGATGCCTTCATTGTCATGCCCCTAAATCAAAAAGCACCGGTGTCCCAGGGTGCTGCAGTCCTAGCTAAGTCCTTTCATGGTTCAGATTGTCTTGCCCCCATCAGGAGAGGTTTCTCGACTATGAAACCGTACAGGTATAATTACCAAGTTGTCCGTAAACATGATGAGCCAAGCAATTAGATATTACTCACTATAGCAGAGAAAACGCCTGTGAAAACAACATTAGAACACTTCACATTAGCAGCCAGAAAGCTGCAAGGCCAAAAACAGACTTGGGATTCCCAGATTAAAATGTTCATTTTCCGTAATTTACAGTTCAGATCCAACTTCCCTGGTTAGAGGTTTCAGAACAGCACAAATGCTGCTCTCCTGGGGATTCATTTCAGGAAAGAATGGCATTAGGCTCAACTGCTTTGGCAGTACAGTGACAAACACCATGCAGAGCTAATTTTATTGTAGCAACCTGCCTTATTAATATTAAAATAAGGAAGCCAGCCAATGCATTTTTTAACAGGATCTCTGTATTATTTATTTCACAAACTGCACCAAAAATTTACTTTTGCTATGAAATACTTAGCCTGGCATAAAGTAAACAAGACAAAAAAAAAAAAGGAAAGAAAAAGGTTTGCATATTATACTGTGACCTCAATTTCTAGTCCCATCTTTACAGAGACTATTTACTGCTCTCTCAATAGGAGAAAAATCACTAAAACACCAGCTCAAGCTAGAGTCTTTGCTTCAAATATCACTGTGAATTTATCTCACCTATGCAGCAATATGGGTACACACCTACATTCACTTCTGAGACACAGAAGTGTATATTATTTAGTCAAAATCATAAAAAGAGCAGCCTAGGCATCTACCTGGCACTCTCAATGGCCTTGGAATGCTCCACACCAGCTCTGGAAGAGATCATTTCATAGCCACTTACCAGAAAAGCTTTTTGCTTGTAAGCTGTTTGCTGCAATTAATGTTTCTCTTTGATTCTGTTGCAGAGAAGGGAGGCGCATGGACTCCAGCTACAGAATGGTGCCACAGGCTTGTAGTACAAAACCACATCAACACGTGTTGATACCCTCATTGAGTGCCAGAGCCTTTTCCCATTACACTGGTGATACCAGAGCCAGTCTTGTCAGACTGGATGATGTGGACTTGCCAGAGCACCTGTGATTAGCCTAACTTCAGCAGAAACCAGAATGAAGCTCCTCAGTTCCACTCTGACTATAACTCACCCCAAATGAGCTTTTCTGTCCTAAAATCTCAAAACACTGCTGTTAGAAGATCTCAACATCCACTTATTGGCAAGACTCAAAAGCAAGCACAAGTCTGATGAAGGTGGCATGCATATATCTACATGAACTCTCTTCAAGCCAATTTCTGAACTATCACCCTGTCCACACTTAGGCAGAACTTAAGCCCAGCTCTCCTATAGTAAAAGATCCAGGCAAATAATCAGCTAAGCCCCATAATAAATGCATATTCCAGGACACCATGCATCAACTAAGGTAGCTTTCAACCTAAAAAATGTACCCCAAACTCATATATACAACTCTGGCTTAGTCACGGCTAAAACACAGCTTATATCCTAAGAGTATATATTCGAAGTTTTTGCAAAGCAGCCTAGAATCCAGTCTCAAATACCACACAAGTTCTCCCCAAAACATATTTCCCCATGTTATTTCAAGTTCAATTGCTATAAAAAGAGATCCCTGATCATTCTTAAGATGTGTGAACGGACTTGTGGCTAGGCAAGGCAGCAAGCGCAAAGGAAAGCCACCACAGTCCTCATGGCAGAAGTGCTCTAAGGAGACAAGTCAGATTCATGAAACACACTGAATTAAAACAGCCATCAGATATAAAAGTACTTAGAGAAAAAGAATAAGGGGTGGGAGAAATGAGGGTGTGAAAATAGGCAAGGCAATTTATCAATTTTCAATCACATTACACATGTCTGAGCAAACAATTTGCATGCAACATGCTTAGAGAGAAATTAAAGACTAAGTAGTTTCAACCTTTATAGCAGAAATAAAGCTCTTCTTTTTGGTTTGAAATACGAAGCAATCCCATTTTATTCAAAATTGGGGAGCAGTTGTATCAACAGTGGATGGAAACAAACAAGTACTTCATCATATAAACAGTCTGTCAAAGAACAACATAAACATCAATGTGTGTATAGACATGTGAGAAGGGAGCATTTTTCGCACCACTTGCTCCATTTGGGGATTTTAGTGATCTGGTATCTGGTGTGTGGCTGACCTTGCTCCATTCATACACTTCGAATTAAACTCCAAAAATTGTTTTAAACCAAAATTCCCCTCAGATTCAGTGGAGATCTTAAAATACGCCATAAGCAGTATTGTAAAGAAAACCTTTTGGTTTGCAACTTCATCACACATCTACACTTCCCAAACGTTTCCTATTCATAGAGGTATCTTAACACTTATAAATTCTTAGCTCAAAAAATGTACAATGCCCTGTACGCACAATGGAAATTAAAAGGCCTCTGCTGCCTGCACTGCTGTAAAGCAAGGTACCGGCAGGACCAGTTCCCCCAGAGATGCTCTTTCCTGACTAGAAGCTGCCACCTCCCGGTGCAGGACAGAGCCCTGCTGCCATCAGCTCATCCCTGGCCTGCCTGACATTGATCCTTGAGCAAGTGAAATAAAGCAACTGCCAGCTGAAACCTCCAGTGCACACTCCCAGCCCACTCCTCACTTGCACCTGAGTTAATCTGGCTCTTGACAGAATCAATTTACTCGCAGGTACTACTCAGATCTTAACTACACTAATCACACAGCCTGATGATCAGGTGGGAAGGAGCATATCTAGATCCCTCGCTGCAAGACTCAGGAAAGGCAAAGCAATGACATAAATCAAGCCAATAAAGAGCTTCTGCAGCTTTTACTGAGAGCTCAGTCTGAATCGCTCATAATTCAGACAATGGTTTTGATGTGACATAACATATGTTAAGCTGTGTAATTACAGATCTTTAAACAGAGCATATTTTTCAAAAAAATTAAATGCCACAGCCAAAAATAACAGTCTCAGACATGCTTTCCTAATTAATACAGCCATATATCTATCTGCAGGAGGGGAAGATGTGAAAAGGAACAATTTGAACAGAAGAACACAAAAGGGACAACACTATTTTCATTAACGGTACCATCAAAAGAACTAATTGGATTTCCTCCTATACAAGGTAGGATCCAGATTAGACATATGCATGGAAAGATAGATGGTATAAGAACCCATTCCCACATGATGTGCATACCAACTAAATATCCAGATATTTGCA